AGAGACGGGGTTTCACCTTGTTGACCAGGATGGTCTCGATCTCTTGACCTTGTGATCCACCCGCCTCGGCCTCCCAAAGTGCTGGGATTACAGGCTTGAGCCACCGCGCCCGGCCTTCGTGGCCGTGTTCTTTAGGGCTTGTGAGGCCTGTTACATGAGCTGGGAAGTGAAGGGAGATTAAAATTGAGTGAACACTCTTGTCTGTAACGTTCACGTGCATTATCTTCCAGTGCACCCACAGCAATCCTCTTTCTTCTTTGTCGTTCAAGCCACTGAGGCTTAGAGGTGGTGCGACGCCCCAGGAAGTTACCCCAGGTGGAAAGTGAAGGAGGTTGGCACTAAGTCGGTCCACCTCCAAAACTTTGCCTGTTATGCAGTCCCACTGTACTGCAATCTGGACCCCGCTTTTTTTTTTTTTTTTGAGACAGAGTCTCGCTTTGTCGCCCAGGCTGGAGTATAGTGGCACAATATCGGCTCACTGCAACCTTCATCTCCTGGGTTCAAGCAATTGACATTACAGGGATGCGCCACCACACCTGGCTAATTTTTGTATTTTTAGTAGAGACTAAGTTTCATCATGTTGGTCAGACTGGTCTCAAACTCCTGACCTCAGGTGATCTGCCCACCTTGGCCTCCCAAAGTGCTGGGATTACAGGTGTGAGCCACGGCACCCGGCCTCATCCTTTAATCATTTGGCTTCTAGGCACCTTATCTTTTTAAGAGACGGGGTGTCCCTATGTTGCCCTGGCTGGAGCACAGTGGCTACTTACAGGCATGACAACACATGGCAGCCTCTTACTCTTGGGCTCAAGCAATCTTCACACCTCACCCTCCCAAGTAGCTGGGACTACAGGTGGTCTCTGCCAACCTGCCTGACAAGGGTACCTATATTTGAATTGTTTCCTTTCTAGCATATTTGCATGTGTAGTTGCAAATATAAAGTGGAATAGCTCAAACATTCTGCAAGGGTAAAGGAGAATAATAACGTGGAGAAGAATAGCAGGTCTCACTTTGAAAGCTGTTATTGACTGCTGGAAATAGAACTAGGCTTTACATATCTTATCTCAGTCTTCATAAATATTCTCTAAAGAAAGTTTATCTCGTAACCATGAAGAAACTGAGGGCAGCAAGATAAAAAATGCACAAAATCACACAGTAAGAGGTAGAACCAGTATTCAATCCCAGGCAAACCAGAGTCTATGCTTTCGGCCGGGTGCAGTGGCTCACGCTTGTAATCCCAGCACTTTGGGAGGCCGAGGCGGGTGGATCATGAGGTAAAGAGATCGAGACCATCCTGGTCAACATGGTGAAACCCCGTCTCTACTAAAAATACAAAAAATCAGCAGAGTCTATGCTTTCAACCAGCAAGAATTGGCAACCTTTATTGACCACTTACTATGTGCAAGTGACTTTTTTTTTTTTTTCTTTGAAACAGAGTCTCACTCTGTTGCCCAGGCTGGAGTGCAGTCTCTACCTCCCGTGTTCAAGCCATTCTCCTGCCTCAGCCTCCCAAGTAGCTGGGATTACAGGCTACCACACCCAGCTAGTTTTTGTATTTTTAGGAGAGATGGGGCTTCACCATATTGGCCAGGATGGTCTCTATCTCTTGACCTTGTGATGCGTCTGCCTCGGCCTCCCAAAGTACTGGGATTACAGGCGTGAGTCACGCGCCCAGCCGCAAGTCACTATTCTGAGTGCTTTGCCAGTATTGTCTCTTACTTCTCCCCCAAATCCTTTTGAGACAGGGTTGCTCCCTGTTACCGAGGCTGGAGTGCAGTGGTACAATCGTAGCTCACTGCAGCCTTGAGCTCCTTGGCTCAAGAGATCCTCCCACCCCACCTCAGCCTCCCTAACCACCATGCCCAGCTAATTTTTTGCATTTTTTGTGGAGACAAGGCTCTCCCTATGTTGCCCAGTCTGGTCTTGAACTTCCAGGTTCAAGCAGTCCTCCTGTCTCGGCCTCCTGTCTCAGCCTCCCAAAGTGCTGGGTTTATAGAGGCTAGGTTAAAGGGGCATGAGCCACCATGGCCAGCCCCTAAATCCTATGAAATAGGTGGTACTATCCTCATTGTACAGATGTGGAAACTGAAGCACTGTAAAATTGACTTGCTGCAGGTCATACAGCAAGTAAGCACTGGAAATGGTATTTGAGCCCTGGGCCAGAGCCCAAACTTGTCACCTTTTTTTTTTTTTTTTTTTTTTGAGACGTAGTCTTGCTTTGTCACCCAGACTGGAGTGCAGTGATGCGATCTTGGCTCACTACACCTCCATCTCCCGGGTTCAAGCGATTTCCCTGCCCCAGCCTCCTGAGTAGCTAGGTCTACAGGCGCTCACCACCATGCCTGGCTAATTTTTTGTATTTTTTAGTAGAGACAGGGTTTCACCATGGCCAGGATGGTCTCGATCTCCTGACCTCATGATCCACCCACCTTGGCCTCCCGACGTGCTGGGATTACAGGCGTGAGCCACTGCCCCCGCCCATCAACTCTTCACCTTTCTTCACGCCTTTTTTTTTTCCTTTGAGATTTCCTGGCCGGGCGCAGTGGCTCACGCTTGTAATCCCAGCACTTTGGGAGGCCGAGGCGGGTGGATCACGAGGTCAAGAGATCGAGACCATCCTGGTCAACATGGTGAAACCCCGTCTCTACTAAAAATACAAAAAATTAGCTGGGCATGGTGGCGCACACCTGTAGTCCCAGCCACTCGGGAGGCTGAGGCAGGAGAATTGCTTGAACCCAGGAGACGGAGGTTGCAGTGAGCCGAGATCGCGCCATTGCCCTCCAGCCTGGGTAACAAGAACGAAACTCTGTCTCAAAAAAAAAAAAAAAAAAAGAGACTTCCTCTGTCGTCCAGGCTGGAATACAATGGTAAATCATGACTCAGTGCAGCCTTAACCTCCCAGGCTCAAGGGCAGCCTCCTGAGTAGCTAGAACTACAGGTGCATGCTACCACCACCCGGCTTTCTTTTGAGACAAGATCTCACTCTCTTGCCCAGGCTGAATTGTAGTGCATGATTATGGCTCATTACAGCCTTGACCTCCCAGGCTCAAGCAATCCTTCCACCTCAGCTCCAAGGAGGTGGGACTACAGGCACGTGCCACCACACCTAATTTTTTTTTCTTTTGTAGAGATGAAGTCGTGTTGTGTTGCCAGGGCTGTTCTCAAACTCCTTGGTTAAAGCAATCCTCCTGCCTCAGCCTCCCAAAGTGCTGGGATTACAGATGTGAACCACCATACTCAGCCTCTTCACACATTTTCTATTACATTCTAGGTAGATTCATATACAGTATCTCATTTGCATCTCACATAAGTCAAATATTTTTATTTTATAGATGAGAAAATTGAGGCCCACAGAGGTTAAATGACTTGCCCAAGGCCCCATAGCTAGTTAGGATCAGAGCTGACTCTAGCGCTGTGGTATACACCAAGATGCCACAGTTACCTGTGTGTCATCTACCTCTCTGATCCATTTTGGAGCACTGTGGGTCCCAAATTAACTTTTCTCTGACTTAAATTGTTTGAGTTGAGATCATTTTGATGTATATTGAACAGGAAGAATTTTTTTTTTTTTTGAGACAGAGTCTCGCTCTGTTGGAGTGCAGGCTGGAGTGCAATTATCCAGGCTGGAGTGCAATGGTGCCATCTTGGCTCACTACAACCTCCACCTCCTGGGTTCAAGCAATTCTTCTGCCTCAGCTTCCCGAGTAGCTGGGATTACAGGCACCTGCGACGATACCAGTCTAATTTTTGGTATTTTTAGTAGACACCGGGTTTCACCATGCTGGCCAGGCTGGTCTCAAACTTCTGACCTCAAGGCAGTCCACCCGCCTGGGCCTCCCAAAGTGCTGGGATTAGACATCAGCCACTGCACCTGGCCCAGAAGAATTAATTTCTAATATATGTCTTCTACCCCAGAAAAATCTTTGTGAAGTACCTTAGGATATTTTTCTTTTTTTCTTTTTTTTTTTGAGACAAAGTCTTGTTCTGTTGCCCAGGCTGGAGTGCAGTGGTGCAATCTCGATTCACTGCAACCTCCTCCTGCTGGGTTCAAGTGATTCTCCGCCCTAGCCTCCACCATGCCCAGCTAATTTTTTTTTGGATTTTTTAGTAGAGATGGGGTTTTACCATGTTGGCCAAGCTGGTCTCTAACTCCTGACCACAGGTGATCTGCCCTCCTCAGCCTCCCAAATTGCTGGGATTACAGGCATGAGCCACCGCACCCAGCCCACATTGTTATACAGTATTCTGTTTGAACCATGTTAAAGTATCATTTATAAATCCACAGAGGAGACTGGCGACTTCCTAACACGTATTTTATGTCTTGTTAAGCTGTTGTATTTAGTCGTGGTGGAGAAATGTGTGAATAGGAGTAATGCTCCTGGTGTTTATAAAAGGAGTATTTGGAAGATTCCCAAAAGTTCGAGGGGGGTGATAGCAGATCTGCAGCCTCTCCCCCGTGCACTAAAGCCAATCATAATTCTCTCTGGTTTGTGTCATCCTCCACTAGGAGACCCCATCTTCAGAACCAATGGAGGAAGAGGAAGATGATGACTTGGAGCTGTTTGGTGGCTATGATAGTTTTCGCAGTTATAACAGCAGTGTGGGCAGTGAGAGCAGCTCCTATCTGGAGGAGTCAAGTGAAGCAGAAAATGAGGATCGGGAAGCAGGGGAACTGCCAACCTCCCCCCTGCATTTGCTCAGCCCTGGGACTCCTCGATCCTTGGATGGCAGTGGTTCTGAGCCAGGTGCCTTCAGAGTGTCCCCTGAGGATAGAGAAGAGTCAGGAGATGATAGAGGAAGAGGGGGCTGGATATAGGCTATATGGGCAGAGCCATCCAGCTGTAAAAGGCTGTTTACTCTGATGTCTAGGGGAGCAGATGTGTAAGGACCTGTAAGGGAGATGGAAGCACAAGAAGCCACAATGTTACTTCCTCTGCTGCAGTCTAATTTTTTTTTGGGGGGGGGGGGGGTGGCTGAGTCTCTGTCACCCAGGATGGAGTGCAGTGGCATTATCTTGGCTCACTGCAATCTCCACCTCCTGAGTTCAGGCGATTCTCGTGCCTCAGACTTCCAAGTAGCTAGGACTACAGGCACCTGCCACCATACCTGGATAATTTTTGTATTTTTAGTAGAGTCAGAGTTTCACCATGTTGGCCAGGCTGGTCTCGAACTCCCGACCTCAGGTGACTCCCTGACCTCAGCCTCCCAAATTGCTGGAATTAAAGGAGTGACCCATTGTGCCCAGCCCCAGTCTAATTTTGAATTGTGATTTCATTCATTCTTCATATGACTAATGTTTATTCACCACAGAGTAGATGCCATTGAGTAACATGGTGCTGCTTTTACATTTGTATAAGTATGCGTGGATTTCCAACTTGGATGTTGAAAAGATGGGAAACCTAAAGTTTTGGTTACTTTCCAGGAAGGGACAAATAGCTTGTGGCTTGGAAATCAGGGTGAGAGTGGGGAGGTAATACACGATAAAGTGACCCTGAGCAGAAGGATTGGGTTGGGGGCAGGCAGATGAGAATCCCTGTGGATCATCTGGAGGCGAATTGTCTTCACAATTGTTGCTTGCACAGCTACTGAACCCCTGTATCAGGGCCTCCAGTGTGGGCTGCCTGTGAAGAGAGGCAGGCTAGGTTCTGATGACACTGCCATCCCTTGGATCCCAAACTTTTTTTTTTGAGACAGGGTCTCACTCTGTCACCCAGGCTGGAGTGCAGTGGCTGCTCACTGCAGCCTTGACCTCCTTGGCTCAGGTAGTCCTTTCATCTCAGCCTCCTGAGTAGCTGTGACTACAGGTGTATGCCACCATGCCTAATTTTTGTGTTTTTTTTTGTAGAGACAGGGTTTTGCCATGTTGCCCAGGCTGGTCTTGAACTCCCAAGCTCAAGTGATCCACCCACCTTGGCCTCCCAAAGTGCTAGGATTATAGGAGTGAGCCACCACACCCAGCTCCAAACTCCTTAGAAGAGTAATCTAAGACTCTTTGCAGTTGAATCTTAATTCCTTTCTATTCATCTTGTCTTATTTTTGTCTCTTGCCTTTTATCTTTCCCCCTTCTATCTTCTTCCAAACCTCCTCTTAGAATCTTAGGATTTAGAACTAGAAGGAACCATTAGAGACCACTTAGACCAGGGCTTCTGCATATTAGAATCGTCGGGGGAGCTTTTAACAAACTACAGGTGCCAGTATCCCATCACAGACCAATTCATTAATATCTTAGGCGCAGGCTTTTTTTTTTTTTTTNACGGAGTCTCGCTCTTGTTACCCAGGCTGGAGTGCAATGGCGCTATCTCAGCTCACCGCAACCTCCGTCTCCTGGGTTCAGGCAATTCTCCTGCCTCAGCCTCCTGAGTAGCTGGGATTGCAGGCACACGCCACCATGCCCAGCTAATTTTTTGTAGTTTTTTAGTAGAGACGGGGTTTCACCATGTTGACCAGGATGGTCTCGATCTCTTTACCTCATGATCCACCCGCCTCGGCCTCCCAAAGTGTTGGGATTACAGGCTTGAGCCACTGCGCCCGGCCCTTTTTTTTTTTTGAGATGGAGTTTCGCTCTTGTTGCCGAGGCTGGAGTGCAGTGGTGCAATCTTGGCTCACTGCAACCTCTGTCCCACTGGTTTAAGGGATTCTCGTGCCTCAGCCTCCTAAGTAGCTGAAATTACAGGTGTCCACCACCATGCCCGGCTAATTTTTTGTATTTTTAGTAGAGACGGGGTTTCATGTTGGCCAGGCTGGTCTAAAACTCCTGACTTCAGGTAATCCACCCGCCTCGCCTCTCAAAGTGCTGGGATTACAGGTATGAGCCACTGCCCCTGGCCAGCTGGGGCATTTTTAAAAGCTCCCGGGGTGGGTCTAATAGTGAAGTCAGGATTAAAACACTGATCTAGTTCAGTCTCCTTACCATATAGATGAGAAAATAGAGCCACAGAGGTTACGTGACTTTGGCACTTTTTCTTCCTATAAATTTTTTGAGACTTGTTTTAACTGTGTTGCCTGGGCTAGAGGTACAGTTGTGCGATCCTCAGTCACTACAGCCTCAACCTCCTGGGCTCAAGCAATCCTCCTGCTTTAACCTCCCAAGTAGCCGGGACAACAGGCGTGTGCCATCACTCCTGGCCTTTTTTTTTTTTTTTTCAACAAGATCTTGCTATGTTGCCCATGATGGTCTCGAATTCCTGCCCTCAAGCAACCCTTCCTCCTTGGCCTCCCAGAGTGCTGGGATTACAGACAGGAGCTACCACACCTGGCCTCTCCTCACTTTCCTCTCACAAACTTTTCAGCACTCACCTGTACCCCGAGTCGTCCTCAGGGGTTTCCATTAGCCCCTCTGTGGATGTATGTAGTCAAGGGAGGCCAAGCAGCAGCACTTCGTTCAGGTAGATTCAGACGTACAGACCAGTACCTCCCATTCTTCCTCTTATTCCATTAGCCTTTGTTGGTGCAGGGGCTTACCTGGTGAACGCAGTGCCCCAAGTTTTGAAGGGCCCATCATTTTGTTTGCTTTGAGGTGGCTGTAGCGGGTGAGTCATGTGCTAAGTTCTCTTCCCAGCTGTCTGTGAGATGTGTGGTATCGTGGGTACAAGGGAAGCCTTCTTCTCCAAGACCAAGAGGTTCTGCAGCGTCTCCTGCTCCAGGAGCTACTCCTCCAACTCCAAGAAAGCCAGTATCTTGGCCAGATTACAGGTGAGAGGCAGCTACTTTGGTCCTCCCCGGGATCCTCGGTGCTGAGACAGGAGCCACCAATTGACTGAAGGCAAGGGCCAGGAAAGTTTGAAAAGCTTGCTTGTGGCCATCTGGTATTTTTTTTTTTTTTTTTTTTTTTT